TAACACCATTCAACCACTGACCCCTCCTCCCAGGCTGAACAAGCAAGAGATCAGTGTTTGCAAGAATACAGCAGCAAATCATCACACTCACTTCAGATATTGAGATCCATGTGCAACATTTTGTTTGTTTTCAAGCACAACTCAAAAAGCCGAAGTGCCACTTTCATGCCCAATTGCAATATCAAATTGAAATACTGAACATGGGTGCAAGGTTTTGTGAGTTTTTACACTCCATAAAGGCCTCAGAGATTTGTTTTTTCATGAGTTTTCAAGCAGCCAGAGCCCCTCAAAAATGCATTTTCCCAGCAGAATAATAATAATAATAATCTCTACAAAAGCAATAGGTTTATTGCACCTTCAATGACAGAGACCTTTCCGGCCCTAGCATCCTTTGTACTCCGGCCCTTATAAATGCAAGGACAAAAGCTTTGAGATGCACCATCTGCAACTCCCCTGTGAAACACTTAAATGTGCCCAGCAGTGTTTCAGATTGTGTGTAACTGATAAATCACAAACAAAGCAAAAGGACTTACAAAAGGCTCTCAGTAAACACCAATGACATAATTAAAATCCACCTGAAGCATACTAGCACACAGGCATACCTGATAGTCCACTAAGAGCTCAGGTCCTTTAAAGTAGCGAGAGGCGACTCTGACATTATACTCCTGTCCCGGATGGTAAAACTCTGCCAGGCCCCAGTCAATAAGGCGTAACTACAGACAAAGAAATGAAGCAGTTAGAGAGCTCATGTATTACTGTTCAACAAAGCAAAGTAAATGAAAACTGAATTAATGAGTCCAAGCACAAAAAGGCAGCAAAGAACAGGCAAACAAAAAGCTACACAACAACAATAATGATTAAACTTGGTTAATAGTTCAATTTAATATTTCAGATACTTTTTTGTTTTGGCCAAAGGGGCACAAACAGCGATTGTGTTTATCACTCACCTTGCGGTGTTCATGATCAATCATCACGTTATGTGGCTTCACATCTCTATGCATAATTCCCATGCTGTGGCAGTAGTCCAGGGCCTATAGAAAAGAGCAGCAGGGCCTTGTCATCCATTGGTCAAAAGGTTTTTCTACCCAGAAATTTTAAAACAGCAACAAAATACTGGACAACACACAAGGTGTTGATGGAAAAACCAGAGGCGAGGTTTGAAACTGTATGAGAACCAAAGCATGTACAAAAACCAAACCAAACAAAACAACAATAAGCTTCTTTCAAAATGCATTTAACCCTCATCTGAGGACCTAATGCTTCACCAGCCTCAGGGTGTTTAGAGGGAACACATTATGAGCCAAGATGCGGCTGGAGGACTCACTTTGAGGATCTCGTACATGTAGAACCGGATGTCATAGTCTGTCAGGGTCTGGTACAGTTGCTGGAAACCAAAGCAAGTAATTAGTCTTTCTATTGTAATACAGGTAATGGACAACACACATTGATGGAACAGTCAGACATCAGACAGCACCTGGTAGGATTGTGCCAGTGACTGAGGATAGAACCAGAAGATGGTTGACTTTCTGGCACCGAAGACATAACACTGGACTTTTATTTTCCTCCATCACATACACACACGTGTACAGAAAAACCACTAGTATGCCAAGAAAGGAGGTATCCATTATCTCACACAACAAAGGTTTATAAATTATGAAAAGTTTAGTTCCTACCTTGAAGTCTGTGTTGTTGACATGTTCAAAGACCAAAGCGGGTGTGCGGGACTGCAAAATATAATAGGTTTTTATTTGATATGTTGCAGTCTCAACCAACAATATCTACTAACACGTGTAGTTAAATTCATCTGTTTGGCTGAAACAGTAACACTGTTATAAGTTATGGCACTAATGCAAATGCTGTATGAACCAACTAGGCAGCCACACTGTGAGCAACACTATGGCTAAATTTCATTATGTCTGTTTGTTTCCTGTAGATATGAGTGAGCAGGGAAACTCAGTCAGCATATGAACAGTCATCAGGACAGATATTGGCTGTCACTAGGCATTCAAATTTCAGCAATTACAATTTCTCTTGTTTTGATTTTTAACTCACCAGCTTCACCACTGATGATAGGAAATACAGCCATTCAGGACGGGCTATTTCTACAGTTTGATTTTAAATTCTAGTTAAATGACATCTCCAAAACAAGACTTTTAACAGTGAATCCAATGTTGGGTTAATATAAGTCTTTTCTTTTCTTTTAATGCAGTGTACTTAGCACTTGCTGGCAAATTATTTTGACACTAAAACTGCTGACCATTTATTCACAAACGATCATTTGTTGCTTACAGTGTGAACTAACTGCTATGTACTACTTTATATGCTATTAATCTGCATCTAAGATCACAAGTTGCCAGGGCCCAAGTAATGTATTAAAACTGCAAATCAAAATGTATTCAATTTACAATGATGTAAAAGGAAGCTGAAAATCTTATGGCGTTTTTACTTGTGTTTTTTCAATAAAACACCATTTGTCTGTAATGCATCTTCAGTCAACTGGTTCATCAACAAATTGCATCATCAAACACTATAGATTATCTCAGGTGGCGACAGGTGAGTCTCATTTTCATTTTTTCACACAAATACAAAGAAGAGAATGACTGTTGTTGTTTCTTTGTCAATGACTGAGTGACAGAGTTGGGTGAGTGGTGAAGTTATACCATTAGTGACTGAGTGTTGGACTTTTCCCATTGGCCATTGCTCTTTCCAAATGACTTGGCATGAACAAATTTCTGTTATGTCATCAGGGGGTGTTTACAGCAGATTCACAACAGTTTACAGTATCTCCTCAAATAGCTAGTGTGGCCTTTATTTACCTCAACTGCAGAAGGTTCTGATTGGGTGGCCTGACCCATCCAGGTACAAAGACCGCTCTACTAGGCGTAGGAGTACGGTTAGAACAAACCTGTTGGTAGAGGAAGGGGAGCAACGTGTGTCTCCTCAAGATTCTGATGCTAGCTCCTATCCCAATTCCAAAACCCCAGCTACTAAACAGCAGACTTAAGCTGCCTAATTTTGCAGTGTCACCACATATAACAAGTCAGGTTATTATTGATCTGATGTTGATCTTGCACAAATATAATGTAGAGTTTTAATAAAGAAAACTATTTTTGAATCAAATTTTGTCTGAAAAAAGGGGTCAAAATCTAGTATGTGGCTGGACCACATATGGTCAATGTTCAAAATTTAGGACATAGTTGAAAACTGTTGTATACTCGCTGCTGACAACTAATATCATCTTTTTGCCATTTTGATACTTCTTTTGGATGCTTGTCTGACAGCCATTATTCGTCACCCACGATGCTGTCTTCGGTTTATAAATTGTGTCACAACCAGTCACACTTTTTGCTTGGTTCATATAGAGTATTCATTGAGCAGCTCTGTTATTTATTCATTAGGTGCTATATGTGTTTTGATTTGAAAGTTCAGTTGCTGTGCATGCTGCAGTTAGCAGGCTAGTTGTTTAACATGAAAACAGGCTGGTTAGCAGCCACTGAACTTTTAAAATGAAAATTTCTTAATATAGCACCTTTTAATGATGCGAACTGTATGATTCATCTGAAAAGTAGATCACATGCCAAAGTAAAATTGTCCATGATATAAGTTCATGAGATCGCCCACCTCTAGACCACACCATTAGGTTAAAAGGCGGAGCAGGGCAACTCATTACACACATGTATAAGTTTTTGATGTTTCTACATTAATGTTTTTATACAAAACATAATGTAAAATAATGGTATTCTGGAGATTATGTTTAGTATAATTACACTATACCAATCAAACCTAAAAACATTGCTAAATTTGGCTGAATTATAAGGGCCAGAAGTGCTCCTAAATGAAGAACTGTTTGCAGAACTGAGCTAAATGATCTGACTCACTAAAAAGACCCAGAATCCCCATCACTACATTGCTTCTTATGCAATAATGAAGTTAGAAGTTCCATTATCTTGTGTGATGAACGGTCGTTCCAGATGGTCGGGCCCACTTTAACATCTGCTGGTGCCTCTTCTCTATGGAAGGTAACTAAGGTATGCCCAAAAAGTCATTAGGTGCTTTTTTTGCAAAAAAGTCTCTTGCAACAAACGGGCTAAGTTGATAACTCTGCAGGTTCTACACACCCCTCTCATAGAAACTGTTCGTGCCACACAGCATTCAGTTGACCAATGGTGTAACTCAATCACTGAACTCTATCATTCACTCAGTCTCAGTTTGGTCTTATCGCCGAACCCTTCATTCAACTTCTCATTCAATTTGTAAAGATGATATTATCATTAGTAATGCACTCTATTTTAAATCTAGTTTTTGTATCACTTTCCTACACATTGATCCACTAGGACTGCCATCCTGCAATCTGCTCTTTTTTTAAATTCAAAACAGAATTGAATCTATATGGATTATAAATGTTTATGATGGCACTGGCATATCATAATATAATAACAATGCACTGTTGTTCCATTTTTAGAGAAAGCCCTGGCACAAGTTAGGAGTACAAGACTATAAATGCTTAGATACATCTAACTTAAAGCCACAGCTCACTTAGTACTTACAGACACATACTTCTCCAACCCAAGTGAAATCGATAAGCTTGCACAGGTGGTGGGCTCACCACGCTATTGGTACAGTAATCATATTTCAGAACCCAGACCAGTTTGTTTTTTCATAAAATGTTAAAACATGTTATCAGGAAAACACACAAAAATATAGATATCATTTAAATATAGCATTTGCTATAACCATGACCAAAGATTCAAGTGTTCTTGAAAAATAATTATACTTTACTTACTACAGGGTCTTTCACAATATCTATGAGGGAGATGATGTTAGGACCTCCGCGTAAATTCTCCAAAATCTTAATCTCACGCTTGATTTTCTTTTTCTTCACAGGCTAAAGGGAAAAGGAAGAGACAGTTAGATGGAGTTCAGGATAGAGCCTTATCATTCAATCAGAGTCACTGACTCAATCTACACCTCTGTCTCTGGATAGATTTACCTTCAGTATCTTCACCACAACTTTCTCATTATTGGTGATGTTGATTGCCTCAAAAACTTCACTGTACTTGCCACGCCCAAGCTTCCGCACTAACTGAAAGTCATCCTGGTTTCTGCGGAGGAAAAATCACAACCATACATCAGCTGGGTTAAAGCATTCCCAAACAGCATGTTGCAAGAATTATGTGCGGGTCAACAAGGTATTTACCCCCATTCAACTACATGGGACTCGTAGTCCCAGTACTCCCTGGGCCGGTGGGTGTTGACCTCAGTGTACACACGGGCCCGGCTCGGCACGGGTCCTGACATGTCCGACAGCTTGGCGGATGGGATGGAGAGATCTTATTGCAGCAGAGGACGGTTGGAGTTCAGGGAGGATGGGTGGAAGATAGGAAGACGAGGGAAGGTAGGGAACAAGGGAGGTTGATCCCAACAGGCCAAGGGTTTTTTGGGGGGATGGAAGGGGGGAAGGGGGGTTGTTTGAGGACGGGGGGAGGGGGAAGGGGGGGGCACCAGGGGCACGGTGGAATAGCTAACATAGAAGTTGGGAGAAAATTAAAGATTAGAGAAATTGAATTCCTGATTCATCCCGCTACATCACAGTATTGCAGTACCTTCATCACTGGTGTATGCAGTGTCTCCAGCCATACATTTACAATGATATCAAATGAAGAAAAGCCACAAAGCCCCACACCAGTTTGTTTGACATTGCCCCTTAATTAATTTATCAGAAACGTCATGTATTCATTATGTATTAGTACATCCCTTTGCTGACATTGACGAAAATGCCAAGTTCACTGCTGCAAGGCTATCTTAAGCTAGCAAACCTTTAACTGCTAGTACTGTTTTGCTCTCTAAGCTCACAAACCCTATAGGTCCCCCTCCACGGTAGTACACTGCTCAGCCTCTGCGCCGGTACTCCTGCCTGCTTCTCCAAACACTGATACACTGACTATGAATAAGTGCCTAATACAACCACACGTCAAATATCCCAATAATATCGATTGTTCCAATGTATCATCTATTACAGTGAGCCTCGCCAGTAAAAATTGTATTCATAGGTCTAAGTAACAGTTAATAACTGAAGATTTAATTGTTTGTAATCCACCGCCGCAACATGAATGAATATATTTTCCAGACCGACCCGATCAATTGCCCCATTAGGCATTAGCTTGCTAGACCAATCAACATTAAATTCAGTGAAAATTTGACTTTCACTAAAGGCTCCCACAGTCATTTTGCGTCGAAAGGCACAATGATGGGTACATGAATCATTCGAACCAGTTTATGTTCAAAAGTTAGCAGTATACAGTTACTCACTCAAAATTAACAGACATCCGCTATGTAAAGTTCTATCGACATTTGTATAAAAACTGAAGATTTTAGGGTGTTATGAAATAAGTTTCAGACGGTGATGGAAGGGGCTACATTTTCCGACGACTACGAAACTATAATTTCTTATTTCGGTGCAAGCAAAAGGTGTTGAAAACTTATCGGCTCGAGGTGGGCCCTAGTTACTAGCCTTGTTGCTAACATTAGCACGGGTAACGTTCGTGCTCTCAAATTATCACAGAGTATATGAGCCGGTATTGTCAACAGCAGAGAAAATTCAGGAGTTGATATTTACCCCCTTGATCACTTCGAAGAGCGAAATGCTTCCCAACAAGCTGAGTTTTGTCAGGCCAACGGCTCTCGCCCCCTCCGTCGCCGGTGTGTCTGTGCCAGTGTGTAACCACTGCTGTATCAGCGACAAAATGGCTGACCACATCCACCAACGTCTCCGAGTATTGAAACGGGGGCCGTGGAGGGACAACTATTGCAAAAGTGCAGACAGGCAGCGGCTGAAAATTCAAAATAATCTCTTTTCTAACCACGTTTCCTTGACCTTGGTGGAAAACGTCATGGGGTCATGGAAATGTGAAGGAGAATTCATAAGGACTTAAAAAAACAACTGTGGTTGAAACTAGTTGTTGAAATATTGAAATAAGATGAAAGACATATACTACAAGTAGAAAAAGTTGAGCCATTAAAATAATAATTCAGTAAAAATAAATAATATTATTCTCCTGGGTTGACACAAACCTTATCACACAGATGCATTTTTGAGAATATCATACTTTTGTAAACAGCACCTAATCCATTTAATTTGTATTCGTTTATTTCTCAGTGTTTTTATTATTACCGTTCCTCTTAGTTCAAGAGTAAGAAATACTGTATTTCTCTTTATACTTTTTCAGTCTCTCTCTCTCTCTCTCTCTCTCTCTCTCTCTACATATATATATATATATATATACACTAACAACTCGAATATTTTCTATTTTCCAGACCATATGATAAAAGATTTTAAAAGTTTATTGATTAAGAGTCATTACATCTGCTCTGATATAAACACATTGTGAGTTTTTCTTATGTTGCATTTTAAAACATAAGCTATTCAGCTGTTTGTTTTTTTACTGTGTGATAAATACATGTGGTCAACCCTTTGGCCAACATCATTCTCCATCCTCATACTCTATGAGTATTAGTCAAACCTTTTTGCAATGCAATAATGAATTTATTATTTATATATTTGGAAATAATGAAATATTAATGAAAGAATGAATGAAAGAATGAATAAAATAATCATGAAAAATGAATGAAATAATAAATGAAACAATGAATTAAATAATTCCATATTAATGGTAGCCTATACAAAAAGGACCCTCCTGTATTACCCTGTATGTGGGATATACTGCCTACTATAACAATTAATTCCCATATAATGGTCGCTGGAGCACCGTGCAACTCAAATGGCAGGACCGTGAACTGGAAGAGACCCCATGGTGTCCTGAAGGCTGTCAGCCTCTGGACCGCTCAGTGAGTGGAACCTGCCAGTAACTCATAGACAGATCTAAAGTAGTTAAGTATTTTGCGCCTTCCAACAGGCCATCAGTTCTCAGTGTTGGGTAGGAATCGAACTGAGAAATTGAATTCATGTACCTGAAGTCAATGCAAAACCTTGTGCTACCATCTCTATTTGGCACCAGGACCACTGGGTTACACCATGTGTGACTGGGCAAGCTCACTCATTTTCTCCAATCTTTTCCTCATCTGGACAACATAGTATACACTGTTAACAGATCCACCCCTCCCTTGTCTTCTTCCCAAATCTCTCTCAGCAGTGAGAGAGGCCCTCGTACTTCATGCCCTTACAAAAGTTCAAATGGAGAGAAACCAGTGGAGGCTTGGGGTACTTCCCTGTATGCAAAGAGGAGGTATGGCAGCCACTGATCCCAGTCCGTTCCACTGCTGTTCACAAACTTCCACAGCATCTGCTTCAAGGTCTGATTGAAGCGCTCCGTCAGTCCATCAGTTTGGGGATGAGACAGCGTGGTCCTCAGGCTCCTAATATCAAGTAACTGATGCACCTGTTTCAGCAGAGGGAAGCATACTCTTGGACCAAACAGAAAGCAACTGACTTAGCCCTCATGGATTTCAATGGAAAAACTTCTGGGTACTTTACGGCATAATCTGTTGTAACCAGCATGTATCGGTTCCCTGCCTTGCTCCTCTCACAGGACCAACAATGTCCATTCCTAGATGCTCAAATGGGGTGCCAATAATGGGTAGCAGTTGAAGTGGAGCTCTGGAGGGAGTTTTAGCACATGTCATGTGGTACTGAGGGCAACTTCTGAAGAATTGAACAACATCTCTGCGCAAGCCATGCTAGTACAAATGATGTTTTTTGCAAGCAGTGGTTTTATGCTTACCTAGGTGGCCAGCCCAGGGAACAGAGTGCCCCAAGGTGAGTATGGAATCTGTTGCTGCTTGGGGAACCACTAGCTGCAATACTGACCCCTGGTGACGGTAGAGCATGCCATTTTGAAGAATATACTCATCTCTGTCCAAGTCCAGCTCAGCTCCGGGCTCTTTCCCCTTCTCCTTTGCTCTCTGAAAAAGAGATGTTATAAATGGAACAGTTTTCTGCATATCGAGAATATTGGCTGGCATTTGAAACCCTAAAGGTAACTCTGGCTCAGTGTTGGTTGATGGTTTCACAACTGTGTGTTGGAATTTCTCCTGCCTTTTCTGTCTGCGGGTTTTCTGAGGTTTCCCAGGTGTTATTTCCAACACATCATTATAGAAAGGCAGGGCACTGAGAACCTCAGAGTGCTTGTTGTTATTTTTAGCCTGCGCTCTTGTCACACAGGTGAAGGATTGGTTTTATTATTATTATTATTATTATCATTATTATTATTAATCTGTTTTAAATCTTTAAGATCTTGTGTGTTATTTCTATACTGCATGTTTTGTACTTCCTGTGCATTGGTTTTATAGTTGCATGTTTTTATATTTTGTTTTATCAGTGTGAGTGTGTTTTTATCGTGGGCTTTTATTTCATCATTATGACCTGCACCTGCGAGCTTGGGATCAGAGGAAAAGAAAGGAACTGCTAAAGAGAGGCAGACAGGAACAGAGGAGTGGAGAGATTGGATAGAGTGAACAGAATGGTGAATGGGTGCCAGACGAAAACACCCTCAACTGAAAAAACAAGGGTGATTGACAGTTGTGCTGGCAAGGCCAGCGTGAGCGAGCAGCAGCCTGAAGCCGGGACAGACTGATAGGCTGGGAAGTTGGCGGTTGGCTGACTGGAGGAGACCCAGAATACTCAGCACAACAAGGGAAGTGGGCAGGGTTTAGCACCCTGCCCTTCTGAGTGAGTATCGTGTCCTGGGCATGACTGAGTGGCCCGATAAGTTCAGTTTTCTTTACCCCAGTGACCCGGGGAGGACTGACGGCAGCAGTAGCGGACTAGCTGAACAAGCCCACTGTTGAGTCTGGTTACACCCCTCTATTCTATCTCTACTCCATCGGGAGTGTTTCTTATGGACTTTTAGTTGTTTTTATTAGGATCTTAATGTGGTTTTGTTATTCTTTTAGCTTTGCTGTGACTTTAAACCTCTGTAATAAATATTGTTAAAACTCTTTCTTAGTCTTTCTTATTAGAACTTGGTTTTATTGTGGGTTTATTTTAACTTTTTAAAGTAATACCCACATCCCTCACACTCTGGTAACAGCAGCATTACATTTTCAGCTTTGGTCTGACACCAACACATCAAATAGTACTGGAAGGTTCGTCCTAGCACAACAAGATGAGGCAAGTTATCAGCAACCTCAACGTTCAAGAGATAAGTTTGCCCTTCTACTTTGATGTACATGTCAGCTGTTGAACAGCTCTTCTCTCTCGTCCCCCATGTACACAACAGATAGGGATGTCGTCTCTGGTGCTGATAATATTGGGTGGTACAAATTTCCTGTGCACAAGAGTCTGATCACTCCCAGAATCAATTAGAGCCTTGAGGGTTGCTCCATTAACTTCAATGTGAGTCATTTTAGTAGACTGGTCCTTCTTAAGAGCATGCTCATGAGGACGTGGCACAAAGTATATTTGTGTTATCTTAGCTGAATTTGTAGGTCATATGGGCTTTGTTAGGCCTTCTAGTCCACAGAGATAACAAATTGGCTTTGTTTTCCCTCTAGGGAGCAAAACTGTTGCCTGTAGGTCTCAGGGTTAATGTCATATTTTGAAAGAATAGCTGAGTTTACCTTATCATAATCAAAGGAGTCATCAATGTCCATATGTACATAAGTGCCTCTAGCTTTGCCAGTTAACAATGGATTTAAGTGAAACACCCAACCCATTTTCAGCCACCAGCATGCTATTGCAATGCATTCAAATGTAATGAGAAAATGTTCAATTTTATCATTATCCTTTAATTTTTCCAATCGGGGTCATGGTAGAGAGACACTGACCTGCAGAGGCCATGGCTCGATTGCTAGGAAAGGTAATGGGCTCAGCTTGGGCCCAAGGATGGTCTATAGTGGATTGTGGGGCCTCCAAATCTAAAGGATCAGAGATAATGGAAATGTTTGGGCCTGTACGTCTAACTGCAAAAGCTGAAACTGATGTTGAAGTGCTTTACAATGCTGTTTCTGCCTTGCAATTACCTCATTCTGCTTTGCTTCTCGGGCCACCTGCTGCCCCATATGAGCCTGAAGAATGGCCACCAGGTCTGAATATTACAAAACAAGAGAATAATAGTTAGGCCCTTAAAAGAGGTCAACAAAACATAACTATACTCAAGATATCAACTAAACAACATGTTAACTGAACAAACTGACCTAACACAATGAGATATGAGGGAACATACTGTATATAGTGGCTTGGCCAAACCAAATAACACACAAAGGGGTAAACAAATGGACGCCAACTGCAACTAAATACTAAGCAAAGCTAACTAAACCCAACTAACGGCTTGCAAATTGAAGGATTACTGAATGGTTTGTTTAACTGTTAAACAAACCATTCAGTAATCCTTCAATTTGCAAGCCGTTAGTTGCCGATAAGACGATTATGTTAAACTTTAAAATAATCGTCTCTTCACATACTTCAGCATCACTTTGCTTAATATCTCTAGATCATCTATGTGAAACCACTTCAAAATACAAAATCATCTTTGCTCTGCAGGCTGTGTGGGAAAAAATTCATGTCTCGTTATTGTTTGACATAACTCAGATCATCATATATAATATACTAGAGAAAACTGACAAAAATAATAAATGTATTTTAGGTATTTTTCATTGTCAAGATCAAACAGACTTTGAAAATACAGTAGAACTGAGATTTATTCCGGATTTACAAATGATACGTGAAAAAATGTACTATTGACATAAAAAATTAAGGCCACTACAAATAATCAATAAATCAGTGAAGCACAAGCCATTTACTATTTTTGGAATATGTAGCCTATTATAATGCAGTTAACAATGAACAACACAATGTTTAAAAGTCAGTACAAGTGTGGTAGCTCAGAAGCCATTTCTTGCCGAGCTTATTGCAAAAGCAGCTTACAAACATTTGATATGTTAAATGGAAAATAATTTCGATCATTTACATTGGTTTTGGGGCTGAAGGTAGGATAGGAAAATAATGGATTAATCGCAAACAGCTACATACAGTACATGGTACATTCCTGATATTTAAATCATATTTTTCCTTTTCTAAAGTTAGGCCAATAGCTTAAAGGAGGAGAAAAACACCTTCCTTTTTTTGACATTTTTTTTGCCTTTTGTATTGACAGTCACAGTAAGAGAGAGACAGGAAAGTCAGGGAGAGAGAGAGAGGGGATGACATGCAGCAAAGGGCCGCAAGTCCGATTCCAAACTCGTGGCTCCTGCATGTAGGACTGATGGTACACACTCTACCAGGTGAGCCAGCGAAAAATACCTTCCTCACCATGAAAAAGAGGATTGGCCATTATACAGTCACATGTTATTAGACGGTCAGGTCTCCAGTTCTACACTGGCAATGTCAGTCAGTCCTCAACTTTGGTCCAGATGGAAATATCTAAATAACCAAACATCTATTGGATGGATTGCCTTGAAATTTTGTTCCGACTATTGTGGTTCCCAGAGGATTAGGGTTGGGTATCATTTGAATTGTATTGATTCTGATTCTGATTCCGATTCTGCTATTGATACCGGTTCTTATCAATTCCCTTTTTCGATGCCAAAATAGTTAAAGAGGTTGGGTGTATAGAAAACAAAAATTTAAAGAACAAATATTATTTTAAGCTTTAATCAAACATTCACAAAGTAAATAGTATTTACTATTTATTAATACTACTAGTACAATAAAAAAAGGATTGTGTATTCCTACGCACGAGCGTATTATGCTGCAGCCTCAGGTCAGCTGACTAAATCAGAAAGCGGCATAATTAATTTACATGTCTCTGTGGTGGCATAATAGTATGACATAATTAAGCACATAATTATGTAGTAATTATGTGGTAATGTGAAGAAGTTTTCAAATCCGTACAATGATAAGTCTCAGTAATATAATTACTGGGAGTTACTGTAAGATATTGGGTAATTACAGAGTAAAAATTGAAGCACCATAAACATGGTTGGTCTATGATTATATGGGAAATAATTGTTATAGTAAGTTGTATAACCCACATACTGGGTAAGACATGAGGGTTGTTTCTGTGCATGAATATTCCTTATTGCATTGTGAAGACAGGCTGTTACCAAGTCTCATATTTCAACCGTCACCATGTCAACATTGTTAACTCAGCAGCCAGTTTCCTTCACAAGCCAAGTACTTTCAGTGTAATGGACCTAATATATTTGTAATTTCTGCAGTCTGATCTTCCAATAATAAGAGGAGTGATAGCCAATGCAACAGATGTTCACCAAGAGTTAATGGTAAATGTGGCGACTGCTAGAAATATCACTGTAGTTAACCCATGACCTTACCACTGCCTGTAACATGGAGTTGTGTATGTAGTTTCTTTAAATATACGGGTAGTTTCAACAGGAGCAATTTACAGTAATTCCAAGTAATTTTACTAATACAATTTGTCACTATACTGATTTTACTTGACTGTTATTTCTTGGAAATTTCTTCGCATTACTACAAAATTACTATATAATTAATGGCCTGTACATTGCCCAAAAAACTGCAATGTGGAATGACAGCAGCCCTTTAAGATTCTCTATGATTTGGTCGTAGTGGGTTAGGAGTCCTCTCCACTGCTTCTAACTTTTCCCAGACTTAGGTGCTACTTTTAGAGCTAAGTGTCTTTGTGAATTACTCTTAGTCAGAAAAATGAGGAGTTGTAAAGTTAGGACTGACACGCCCATTATTCTTAGGAGTTTCTGTTACGGCTCTGCCACAACTTTGGTTATTCTCCTTGTGTTTCCTTGTTTCCCTTGTGTCTCCCCCTCTCCTTTTGTGTGTATATTGTGTACGTGAGTGTGGCTTCCTGCTTTTGGCAAGTTGTGGTCATATGAAAAGTTATGCTGCTCACAACAAAAGCAGGAAGTACATTATCTTTCACGCAAGACTAAACTGAGCAGCTGAGAACAAGCATCACTGACGAGCTCAAGTCTTTTAGTTGCAACAGATTTTTTGAGAGACTGAAAATTACATAAGGTAAGTGTAACTTAGAACCATTACAGTCCCACTAAGAGACATTTATGGCTGATTGATTCCACAATGTAAACAAATGTAATGAAATTATACCCAACAGTAAACAGTGACTTCATGAAGGTGGTTGTCTGAGTAGCTGTATGTTTGTTGTTTGTTCAGGAGTTTCTTCTCAGGTCAGATCAGTCTATAAAAACTAAATTAGAAAACTCTCATACAAGCGCAATTATAATCTGACCAGCACTCTCTCTATAGATTTTCAATTTTCATTCATGCCAGCCCATGGATGAATATTTGAATATTCAGCTAAAAACTTTACAGCATGGGTGAGTGAAATGTTTAAAATACCACTTGAAATGTTAGTTGATGCAGCTCTACAGTCTTTATTTTCATGATTTCATCTCTATTTTTCATCTATGCAGAATTAAATATGTCAGCAAACATGATATGGATCTCTACACTGAAGAGTGAAATTGAAAAGAGCCCTGTTGCCTCAAATATGGTTTTTGGTTTCATCCTTGCTTGCTTGGAGAAGTTACTGGAGATGGAGTTTGCATGTCCTTGTGAGTCCAAACAGAATGTTCGACTTGTGGTTTTATTTTTCATTGGTCCTGCTCTACTGGCCTTTGTGCTGATGATAAAAATCCAGGGATGTGAGAGTAAGAAGTCTTGGAAAGAGCGGATAGGACTTCTGGCTTCCAGCTGTGTTTCCTCCGTAGTGTGGATCCTCCTGATGCTTTTTGATGGCCAGTACGTTGCCTGTGCATTTTCATCGCAGTCAGGGAGGTTTGTAGTTATTGACAATGCTTCTCGACAGAAATTGTGCAAAGCAGACAACCACAACGCATCGCAGGAGTTAATCAACACCCAGAAATGGTATTCTGGGTCTCAGGTAAGGAACAACCTGATGTCTCTAGTTTGGTTTGCATTTGTCAGTTGTTGATCTGTGAAAAATTGCAACTTTCCACAAAATGTGTTTGGTTAACACTGTTTCATGTCACTTTTTTTTCTCCTGTGGTTTAGGAAGCTGGAATGTGGCTTCTCTTATTGGCCGCTGTAATAGGATTATGTTTAATGTTAAACAAGTGCTGCAAAAAGGAAGAGCAAGGGCAACCTAACAGCGGAGAGAATAGGACGGATGTCACAAGTGTGTAAAAAGCCCTGAGCAGCAGGTCCCCAGTTCAACTCCTGGCTGACTACATGTCACTCACCTACACACTCTCTCTCTCTCTCTCTCTCTCTCTCTCTCTCTCTGTATTTCCAGTCTGTCTCTACAGTCGCTGTCAGATAAAGGCAATAAAAATCCCCAAAAAATAACTTAAAAAACACTCAAGTCGAGCAACGTCAAGATCCAGAAGCTTCTGTGTCGACAATTAAAGGACTGAGGTCATGTTGTGATCAAGATCCCTGCTTTTGGTTATCATCCCATGTAGAGAAATTAAATAATAACACTGAGAGAAGAAAATAGACACAATTTCAAAAATGGACAAGGCTGAAGGCTTTGATGTGATCATACCATTATTAGTACATAAATAATTCATTTAAAGTGGATATTGTGGATAAAGCTAAAGAATTGTGTCAGCCATCTGCTCCCCAAGCCTGTCTAATTCCAGCTACTTCATAATGACTGCATAATGTGAATAACTTGGGAGTGGAGATTGATACTTGCAAACATTGTGTAAATAAGCGAGTTGAAGAGGGCACATCACATGAGATGCTGCATTTTGAGCTTTCTAGGATTCACAATGAAGTTCAGCTCTTTAAATGCTTTTCAAAGCTTCTTTCACAACAAACTACATTCCTACTCAAGACAAGAACTATAAAGAGAGAATTGTAACAGTGATGCTTAATGGATCTGTCTCATTTTGTAAACTAATTAACTCCTGTAACCAGTTTCAGTACATGTTTTTTGTGGCATTGTTTTATCAGCTATTTGCATTTGTTCATTTTTTTATTTTGTATTTCTCTCATTTCTTAGTTTAGCTCTGGAATAAAGCTTAATTGTTTCTCTTTATATGATCTCTGCCTATAAAATGTATTTGTTTTGCCCTTTTTATTCTACTTCTGCTCTCACTAAGAATACTGCGTTCTGGATCTACTTCCTGATTCAATCAGTGAGTGTTCACTCTGTATATGATGGTTATGTGACATATGAAAGAGAAAGTGGAAAATAATCCTTTAGCTCACATTCAACGGACATGTTGCACATACTGTAGCACTGGTGCATCAATGAAACCAGTGGTTATCCAACTCATGGCCCACTTGAATATTTAATTAATGTTGGCGGCCCACATCTGACCCCATAACAGTATGGAGGCCAAATCATGCCCTCTCACTGGGCTTTTTTTTTAGTAATGATCGAACATTCAGGATTGACTCAGACTGAGATAGGAAACAGTATACAAGGTGGCGATAACATAAAAGTTCCTATCATTGGCTAAGTTTTTCACACATTTCCAAAACATTCAGAAACATGATTTATAATTTAATTTTAATATCATATCTTTTATAATTACATCTTTTCAACAAAATTCTACTGTTTTGCAAATGATTTGTCGGCCCACTTGCAATATCTTCACGGCCCACCAGTGGGCCCTGGCCCACAGGTTGGGAACCACTGCTCTAAGCAGAGCCTGTAGATGTGATGCAGTCGTACAGGAGCAGAAAGAACAGTGAGGCAACACGTGCCTCCACATGGACTCAGTTTCCCACAATCCTAGGTCTTAAAATTGCGTTGTGGTTCAAGCAGTTTCTCAGGCTGACTAAGCCCTGACTTCAGCAACTGGGGCTTTAAACAGACTTTAAATCCTATTTCTCTTTGAACTGACACAGTGTAACTTTATTTTTGAACTAAATGGAGCAAGTAAAGTGTCTTCAACTAAAAAGCCAGATAAGACATGTAGGCCGTCAGACATCCTGCTGTTGTCTGACGGCCTACACTGGTCAGGCAGGTTTGCCATTTGACCGCCTCGGGTGAGAAAGACCAGCTTCACACAGTATGGCTTTTTATATAACAGTGTCAGGGAGTAGCTTAGTTGCACATCTTTGTCATTATCATCATTTTCTGGTCAGCAGTTAAGGTCCATGGACTTTGTCATGTCATCCTCATTGGTGTTGTACTGGTAGGATAGTGACTTTGCTGCCGTTAGAGGATGGATTAAGGAGAGGACTACTCACCCTTTCAACGAAGCAGCAGCAGCCCTACCCCTCAGCCTGTTATTTCATCTTAACAATATGATTGAAAAGGCTGCCTTAAAATGTTAAAGTCTAAAGATACCGTTTGTTTTTCTAACACCACCAAATGTTAAATTGACCTTTGTAACCTTTCCAAATCTATTTCAGCTTAATGATGATAAGTGATAAGTGATATTCAGAAAGTTAACAGTGATCTCGTTGGCATGACAACCGCCAGTGGTAGGATGGCAACAGGTACAAAGCCTGAGTTTGTAAAAGAATTTGAAGCTAACTGAAAGTTAAAGCATAAAAATAGGTTGTAAGTTTAGATTTGAAAGTCTGAACGGAGTCAGACAGTCTGATATCAGCAGGGAGGTTGTTCCAGAGCAGAGGGGCCCGATAGGAAAAGGCTCTGCAGCCAGCAGACATCTTTTTTTACTCTGGGAACAGACAGGAGCCCTAAATTCTGGGAACGGAGAGCCCGAGATGGAGTATAAGGTTTAAGCAGATCAGACAGGTATGAAGGAGCAAGTCCATTTATGTGAATTCTGGGAAGTCTGTTAATATAGTAATATATAATAGTATATAGTTTTGATTCTTTAAAAACTTAAAGGTTATATATGTGGTATTCACTGCCACTAGATGTCGCACTAGACCACCAGCATCTGGGACCAAATGCTTTGCCATCATTTCATGTCAAAAGAGCAGAAGTTACAACCGTTTATGTTTATCAGTTCTGATGTGGCCTGAAAATAAAGTTGAATTAACTTGAAATGATCCAAACTTATATATTTACATCAAGTCAATGTGGAAAAAATGACTTGATTCCACTAAATTCCCATACGATGGTAGAACAGGTGTTTGGCTCTTTCCTTTAGGCTCTTCAGATATCAGATCATTTCTTAAATTAAGTCGAACACTCCAGTCAGACTCAAGGGAAACACAAAAAAGGTGTATGCATCATTTTACATTTGAACAAGTCACACATTTAACATCATGTTATGAGCTACTTTTCAGAATACAATTTGCAAATTTTCAACTAACATGTTTCTACATTCGAGCTTCATATGACCAGTCTCAGTGCTGTGTTGTTTTACAGTATCAGTCAGTTGCACACAAAGGCAGGTAAACACAAAGGCTACAGGAAATATCTCAACACACATCCTGCCAGACACAGACGCCACACTACAGTTAGTGACATGCAGAAAAACAGAGATTTTCTATATTAGGTGCATGAAAACCCACTGATACTCTCATTTTTTAATGTCATGAGAATATATTAGGGTAAATGCCACACATGAATGGTACAATTACACGCAAGATGGTGTGAAACTGTTTATGATCAACTCTCATGAATCAAATGCTGCATTGTCAAAGCTGCTGTGTAGTGTACGGCAGAGCCCTCAGGTTACTGAAGCAGTCACCCCTGTCACCCAGGATATAATCAAACTTATATGGCATAAATATGTTTATAGAACATGCCAAAAGGACAAAAACACACTCACATCAACTTCTTATTTTTCACAATAAGTGACCCTAAACATCTGAAATCACCTGAGTGAGCGTTTGTCTGTGTTCTGTAGGGTTTTAGAAGAACAATAATGTTGCTATATTCTAGTTATAACCACTCATTATGTTCATATTTTGACTTCCCTGTGTCAAAATCTAGTTGTAAGACCTGCATTGTTTTAGTTCATATTTGTGCACACATTGAGCATATTCTTAATTTTAATTAAAAGTAGTTCAAGTAATTGACCAATTCAGGGTCAGGTATTACTCCAGGACAGGCTGATTGGTTGGTTTGTGAGTGTCTGAACAAAAGGTAGCTGTCGTGTGTAGTCTGTTGTGTACACTGTACTGGATGGGAACTTGGGAGGGACAGAGTACATACACAAAAAGCGCAGTGGGAGGATAATGGTGGTTGTAAATAGAGGTAACAAATTCTGCTCTTCAGTCATTGAACAAGTTAATCCAGTCTTGGGTGTCAGTACAGTACAGCCTGAACCAGGGCAAGTTTGAGCTCACAAGCCATTATCAGATGAGTGACATGTCAAAAATGGCAGGAGTCGTGTGTAGGCATTGTTCAATAAGACACAAAGTTCAGAGGTCACTGTGGTGTTGTGCTTGGAGCAGGAGCAGCTACATTCATTCCTCTCAGGCGCTCAGCCGGCAGTTCAAGGAGGTTGTTGGGGGCAGTGGGTTTCTGTCAGCGAGACTATTCATTGTGCTTTTTGGGCCTTGATTGAGGATATCCTCCAAACAATTGCTCTAGGTGTTGACACTGGTTCAAAGTTTTTAGACGTGTATTCTTTCCCCCATCCATCTCCCGGTTACAGGATCCTCCACGCAGTGAACAGTTACATTTATTGTTCATGTGTTTTTTTTTTTTTTAAATGCATGTCTACAGACTTCCTTACAGGGGAGTTGTTCCCATTCAGTGTCACACCTTAATATATGTCACAATGTGTGTGTGTGTGTGTGTTTGTGTGCATGCGTGTTTCTGAGGAAAATTTGTGCATAAAAAGGCACAACTAAAACAGTCGCTTGTAGTTTTTCGCCAGTAGTTTGCTGATTGGTCGGAACCACTGTGCTGCAGCCACGGGCAAGATGGATCCTCATGGGAAATCTAGTTACCATGCAAGATTAGCAAACACAGGCTGACTGTGATTACTCTGCAGCAAACTTAAGGGCTGAAGGGAAGTGAACTTTGCAGTTTATTTATAGTGAAATGCTCTTCTTGAGAATCAGCATTGTGTCAATGGGGTTCAACTGAACATGTTGCCAAAAATTTTAAAGATCTGTTCCCCGATTTTTAGTAAGTAAAATATTTCACTGGAACACACTGCCTCAATTTAGAAAGCTTTTGTGATGTGATGGAGGTCAGGCTTCTCTCTCTTTCTTTCACACCCACACACACACACACACACACACACGCACTCTGTTAGATTGATATTTCAGTGTCAGGATTGTTGAGGTCAGATATACTAATATTGAAGATATCACTATTTCAAATCACTACTGTGTTTTTATGAAAATCAGTAACCAATGCCATCACCTTTACCAACACCTTTCAATGTTAAGTGTGATAATCTAGCCACCTCTCATACCAACCTGCTGTTGCACTACTAAAGTCTATAAATCAGCTAAAACGTGATTGCCATGAGTCTGAAAGGCCATGGAGAAAATAAAACTCAAATCTGAAAGGGACAACTATAAAATTCTACTTGTCAGCTGTGATGGCCGACAAGCAAGTCTTTGGCTCAGACCCCTGAAGCTGGAGCAGACAAGATGACCCCCATCTCTACAGCAGATGAGGTGCCGTCCAGGACACTCAATGCTGGAACAGGTGAGGTGAAACATTGACCGTGGTGCTGGGCAGTGGAGGCTCAGAGTTACTCCTGTTACTTGCCTTTTTCCCCCTCACCATTCTGATAGCACTATACAGTGCTACTTCCTGCTGCGCAGTATTATCCCAATAATGTATCAGAGGGTGTAGTAACAGTTTATTCCAGCACTGCCTTTGCACAGACAGGCATCTGTATGAACTGTTTTATATTAACTTTCAAGGCTCCATTTACCTCCACTGATGCAGGACAGATGTAAATGAACCAATTTCTTAATGCCTGAAAAAGGCTCGTTTTCTATGAAATTTACACAATTAGACTCATGTCAGGTCATTCACTGGACTCCAACTGCTTAAAATTCAATTAAAACTGGAAAAATTGTGATTGTGACTATTGGAAGGAGTACACACAGACCCACACACACATACACACACACACAAACACACACTACGGTGTCTAGCTCAGTTAGTGCCTGTTTTGCTGCTGCAGAGGACTGAATTGCTGCCTGTTCTCCCGCTCCGCCCATCAGTGGAAAACAATCATAAAAATCAGAAGCAGCCTGTCCAAGGCTGCTGTCCCACAGTGCGTGTCCAATGGTGATTATCTCCTCTGACAGGTTGGCCTGCTGGGGAACTCTGAGGTTGAATAAGAGGCAGTGAGGGGGTGGAGTGTGTCTGCCCAGACAAACAGTTGAGCTACAGGACCATAAGGGTCTGTATTGCAATCTTAGTCCTTTCTATTTGCCCCATGGTATTCTCCATTAATGCTTTACAGATGGGGCTGAAGATCTGGAACATACCGCAGGTGACTTTGGCTTTCATATGGAACTTTATACTGTCCTGTACAAGGATATCACTAGCTTTAACAACAAACCAAACCAGTCTGAGGTCATTGCTCCAGACTATGAGAGTTAAAGTTATAATCTGTAACTTTTCCACCCTAAAATGTCTAAAAACAACAAGACCTATGTTCTACTGTGTATGTTGTTGTGCTGTGTTCTTACATGGAGACATCCTATCCCGTGTCGCTGAAGAGCGTTGGTGAATCTCTGATTGTTAAAGTCAAACTGCTTTCTGGGTGTTTCTACTGGTTTTAATCCCCTGGTGTGTTTGTTGTGGAGAGGAGGACACCTCTGTGGATAATTCAGCTGCTGGTAAAAACCTGCTGAACGTCTGCTTCATAAGTTATAGAGAAACAATCAGAACAAAGGTTAGCATCAATCTCAGCTCCAGCTCTTCCCTGAGTCTCTGTCCTCCGTACAACATCGGTCAAACACTGACTTTAAATGTCAAACTGCTTTATTCAGTGTTTTTAATGGTTAGAATCACTGGTTCTGTTTGATTTCCTGAACCACTGACACTGAAGGAATCCAAACCGGGAGGAGCTTATGGTAATGGTGATGAAGACAATAACTCCCATGATCCCACACTATTTCATGACATCACCCAAAGACATCTTTTGTTATTGTTCAGATTGAGAGACACCTAGAGGCCGAAGTTACAGACTGTGAGTGTAATAAAGTGATTCAGCCATTTCAATTAATGTGTAATTAATGTAATTTTCAGATTCCTATCAGTGTAATATCTCATACATCTCACATTTTCTTTAATTGCAAATAGTTGACTGAGAAGACTATTTGACGGCTGGTACTAATGCATATATTTTTCAGGCTGTGGTAGTGAAAGTTTCAAAACGCCTCAATTTTTCCAGTTTTATTGAAATGCGAGCTGTTTAAGTCCAGTGAATAACCTTAAATGGTACAGAGGTAAATAGACCTTTTTCAGGGACTTACTTACAAACCCTCTGTCTGTATCTATTCATATGTTATTTACATGCTACATAATGGAGAGGTGAATATCATTTCAATTGTTTTTTTTATGTTTAAAGTTACCTGTGGAACGAACACACTCAGTGAGTTCAGTGTAAAGTTGCTGATTGACTGAGTTTCAGAGTTTTGTTCAGCAATGCGTTCCCACCCAGGGATTAAAATAAGCATCAGCTGAGCTCAGTGGGCCATCCCATCCCGACTGATGTCAAAACTGGCACTGACCCAGGGCTCACAGGGAGGGCCTTGGCAGGGTCTAGCATTCAGGCCTTTTCCTTCCTGTTCCTCTGTGACATCTTCCTGCTTGGGGATGGGGATTGGGTGAGGGGGATGGAGGTCGGGGTGAGCAGAGGACTGTAAATGCTATTTCACAGGGGTGTGCCTTTAAAAATCACTTCAGCTATGTTTTTTAAGGACTCAGGTTAGAGTGGGCTGTTCTGCCGCACAATGTGATGATGAGTAACTGCTGGGGCACTGATTTGTTTTCTTGGCAAGAGATGAGAAGATTGACATCACAAATGCAAATTATGAGGTGGTCTGTAAGAAGGGACAGCAACATTTGTGCTTCCTTAGAAAGTGAAATGTTTTTAACAGCCATCTTTAATCAGCAAGTTCTCTGCAAGGCCAGATCCATGTTGGAACTATGGGGGAACAGCTAGCAGCTGTTTTACTTAGCACACAGGGAAAACAGCTAGACTAGAAATAATTCAGCACATGACCCGCTTGTTCCCTCCAGTTATCAGTCTTTAGGCCAATCTCAGCTAATAACTGCCTGCTGCCTGAAGCTCCATATTCAGTGCCCAGAGTGGCATCAGCCTTCTCATCTAACTCTCTGGAAGAAAGTCAATTCACATATATTTTCCAAACTATTCATTTCATATTGTTTTTTTTTTCAAGAAATGCGACAGTGCTTTAAAGTTAGTTTCACTATGAAAATCAGCTTGCAGAGACTTCAAACCTCCTTGACTGTGGTAATCCATCACAGTGGACATCTTGTAAACTTTTATTTTCATCACATTATGTGATTGTTGCAAGGTAATGTGGGGCAGACTTGTTGTCATTCATCCATTGAGCACTTTTTAACACCTTTGAGTACTTTTTGTCACTTTTGGCACATCCCATTTAAAAACTGTCTCTCTGTGTAGAAACTGGTTCTCACACAGCCCACGATGCTGCTCCCCTGGTGTGATCTATAACATGGATTCAGCAGCAGCTGTGTTTTTCTGGATAGAGGGTTCTAGGTGATATTAGCTGTGACTGATCAACACCACATGTGGATCCCAAAGTGGGAAGTTTACTACCAGAGCAGATTCAGGCCGAAAGACCAGCCCTCAGATTTCTCTATTTTTCCTGATACTGATCCAAATGTACAAAACTTTGAATGGAGTATTATTAATGAAAACATGAAATTAGCTGCTCAAATTTCAATTGCATTGAGCAGAATTACAGATAATATGCAAATTGATTATAATTGTAAATTAGGCATTTTCCAAACATGGGAATGCACAGATTTATGAACTTACCTTTTAAAGACTCTTTCAGCTCTAACACTACGCTTTAAACTCTTGTTTTTTCCTCTCCCTGATTGATCTTGTTGGCATGAGTCCAGTAATGTGCTACACTCCCTGATGGTCCCCATGAGTAATCATCAGTCACCACAATAGGTCCAACAAAACTAATTTGTGTCTTTCCTGTTTTGTCTTTACCTTTCCCAGAGCTGACTCTGATTCATGCCTTCCTAACTGGCACTCGGCACCTACCACCCCGGCAGGGCTTTCTGCGGTCAGACACTGCTGGGATACACTGATTTCAGAGACAGCCAGCTAAGGAAAAGATTGATTACTTCCTCTGTAGAGATTCCTTGGCATTGCTCAGATGGAGAGGTAAACCTTCATTTAGATTCCCCGTACAGGTTTCCTCTTCTGAGCAGTTACAGGCAGACAACGCCAGTAATGGTTGGAGAGCTTTGCACTTCAGGGGTCTGGCTGTCCTCAATTTGCATCTAACTCTCGATATGTGGTTTATAAAGGAAATCAGAAAATAGAAATCTTCTTTTTTGTATTTTCATTGATCTACAAACATGTTAAAGGGTCAGTTCACACAAATGAAATGCGCATGTTTTGTCACATACCTCTTGTAGTATCTAGCCATACAAATAGCTTTGGTTTGGTTGTCCTGAAGCTGACTATGTCTTAGATAGAACAAACAGTCAGACTTCAGATAGACTGAGTCTAAATTCATCTGTTGCACAAATCAGTTTAGTTCTTGACTCTTAGACTGGACTGTGGTACAATGAATTCTGGGTAAATTAAGACTTTTTTCAATATAAGAAAAATAGCAGACACAGGAACCACATCCAGCCGCTCAGTTCCATTAACCCCAGCAGAAATGTTTGTCTACTGGAAGATTTCAACAGTTACAAGGACATTTTACTTTGGAAATTCAGCAGAGTGAAACAATAAAAAGAAAAAAATTTGGAGAAAAACCTCTGCAGTCCCTAAAAACTCTTTCCCTTCTCATTTCTCTCTCCATGTCAATGTTAGCAAACCACAAATTATGAGCCATGTTTTCCCCTTTTTTTTGCTGTTCGGTGCTGGTCAGTGCAGGTATCATTGATTGTCACCATGGTAACATTGGTCTTAGACCTGAGTTAGTCTGGGGGTAAGGTGTCTAATTTTTTGTCTTAAAATGAGTCAGTCTTTATCCGTGTGAAACTTGCATTAGACTGATCTTTGAGTGTAGAGATCTCTGGCTCTGAGGTTTCTACTTCAATACAGCGCAGTAGCTCTGCACCATTTACAGAACACACTGTCCACACTTTTCATAGGGGGTATTTCTTCATTAGAAAGTAATTCTGTTGAAATATGTGTGTTTGGTGGAATATCCACAGTAATGGAGACTATAATTATGCACCTATGTTTTTTGCAAACTGGTTGGACTCTATACTGTGACAGGGGAAAAAATCCAACCTGCCAGTGTTTTGATCCGTTCATATTGTGATCGCACGATTTGAAATTTTGAGGTACCTACATACAGTAAATCATGCAGCTTTGTTACGGGACAATAATTAAAAATGATGCCAATTACAGCTCAACAGGAATATTTTCCGTTCATTATTAATGAGAAAATGTTACATCCACTGTTAACGGGCCACGCAGAAGCATCGAAACAGCTTCAAAACACATTGCCATTACACTAAAGGCAAAATATAAGAGAGACATGTCTGTGTAAAAATAAATTTAATTTAAAAGTAGTTTACAACATGTAATGAAAAAGCAAACAAAATAATGTCCCACAGATGTCTCCTGTTGCACAAACAGCAGAGTGGTCGGTCCTCTTAGGTCTTATTCCTGAAACTGCTTTGCTTTATAAGTCTGTTTGTGAGCCAAGCTTCCCAAAACCATCTCAGCTTCATCTCTAAGAACCATGCAAACTTTCATGGGAGTTTTGTCCCATGAAATTTTACATAGCACAGCAGCCTATAATAAGGGGACAGGCACCAAAAGCATCTCCACATCTTTTGTAGATCCTTCAATAATTAAAAGGTCACCTTTTTGATACAATAAATACTTGTAATTCGTGCTGGTAATTGTAATCTATGTAAACACACCATAACCAGGATTCCAAACCTTGATAACATAGATTTATTATGGTTATCGTCTGTTGTCAGTTCACATATTAAAAGGATTTGATGTTAATCTAAATGTGCAGTTCTTTTGTTGTGAATGTGAATGACATGGATATCCAATATCGACTGATTGTGTAGAATTTCATTGTATATTTTACTAATCCCCATATGCTCGGGAACGTTTCTGGTGACACACAGACAGTTTTGGTGCCAATTTTTCCCAGCTCATACCGGCTAAAGTGACCTATGAGGCACACTCCCATAAAATCAGAGCAGTCCTTTAAGACTATTGTCAGACTGAAATGGTTCTGGACTCTAGGAATGGCTGAAAGTTCTGAAGAGAGGCTCCACTCCTACTTCAGGTCAAACAGTTTCATCACCGACTTATTTGTCTCCCACGGTTCCCATGCATCTTCACACAGTCCCGCCTGTCCGTCACCTGTGAACAAAGATGGAAAGTATATGCAAAGTCAGTTCAAAAGATCATAACTGTCATTATCACCGTGTAGCTTCGGGAAACATTTTAAACCTAAACACAATTTCTGAGTTCAGGTGTTTTCATGTACTTTCTTAACAACCCCATAAATGTTAATTATACAATTATATAGTTGCCCAGAATTAATAAAAAAACACTGTTTCCCTTTAAAGGATATTCCACATGCTCTGAACGATATGGCTCCTATAAATAAGCCAAATCCCAACAGAGAGATTTGAAAGCCAAGATGGATGACGTCCATTTTACTAGGATGCATGCAGCTCATCCAAACCCCATGGTGTCATATGATCTCCCACTAAACTGGAACAGACCCATCCAGTCAGATATTTGACTCACTGATGAACTGTTGCAAAAGTCCAGTCAAGCAGAAATGTAAATTTACTCAGACACAGTATGTCTATAGAATATTAAAAGGCTGCATCAGAAAAATGATTTTCCAATTAAATGCATAATTTTCATCCCTAAATTCTGGAGTAAAATAACAAAACAATGCTGAAATGAAATATCATACACACGTGACAGCATATATTGCATATATTGTATGCAAAGATGTCACACTATTGTCAGTGTGGGGGTCTTTTGTTAGGCCTGTGTGTTTTGCAGTTGAAACAGTGCAGGAACACAAGTTGTAATAAAAGTTGAAAGTGTACTGTAAATAGATTTGCATGTTATGCTGGTTTTAGCCAAAAAAAACAGTAAACAGTAGAGTTTAAGGAATCTGAAGAAGATCTGAGATCATCTCTGCTTTATGTGAGAGAGAGAGAGAGAGAGAGAGAGAGAGAGAGAGAGAGAGAGAGAGAGAGAGAGAGAGAAATGGGAGAGAAACTTTCAGATAGCAACATTTCAAATGGGGTTTCGGGTTATTCATATCTGCTGAACATTTTACCCCTTTCCGTTGGTTGCTCAGGCAGAACGTGCAGATACTTCGGGGCTGTTTGGCTTCTCCTCTCCCCTTCAGCTCCTTGTAGACAGCGGTCAGGCACGGCTGGCCGTCCTCCCTCCCGTCCCCGACAACCAGCACGTTGGCCAAGTGTGAGATGTAGCTGGATGCCAGACGCAGCGTCTCGATTTTGGAGAGTTTTCTGTCCACTGGTTCCGTGGGGATAAGTGTCCGCAGCGCCGTGAAGGCCGTGTTGACGTTCTGGGTCCGGTGTCTCTCCCTGGCGTTAGCGGCGTTGCGCGTCTCCACCACCACACCGCCAGACTCCTGTCGGTAACTCCCCCCCGGGGTCCCGCAGCAGCCGTAGCCCTGCTCACTGCTGCCGTCGCTGTCGCTGCGGTTCCCCTCCTCGTCGTCCGAAATCAAGGTCAGGTCAGCGGGGTAAGAGAAGGGATGAGTCGACACGGGCCTCAGCATAGTGAAAGCCATCATAGTAAACAAGTCCCGTATCTTCAAGGAGAAAACAGCTGCACGCAAACCAGAGCCGTGCGTAACGGTAGCTGCTACTCCAAGGTTTAGCCAACAGAAGTCCCCGGTCTGTTATGACACTTCCCCATACCATGGCCCGGAGTGACAGTCATCATGACAGGGAGGGCTCTTATAGCAGCTACAGGAGCTGTAAGGGGAGGGGTAGAGGCTCCCATCCTCCCACATGTTTAGGTCCTAAAACTCACAGAGCTCCAGTTTGGTGCTTCACCTATAGTGAGGTGTGGACACTGGTGAGTCATTAGTTTTTATGAGTGGAGAGCAGGGAGCAAACATTGGCATGAAGCTCCTAAAACTGGCCTGACCTTCAGAGGCAGGAGCTTCCATGTGGTTCAGTGGTGAGAGTGAAAGTGTTGTCAACAGTGGTGCAACATTACGAAGAACATTCACTCAAGCACTGTACTCAAGTATGAGTTTGAGGTACTAACTTCACTTGAGTGTTTCCATTGTATGCTGCTTTATGTTAGTACTCAACATCTCAGAGACAAATACTGAACTCGTTGTTAGTTACTGTACTTTGTACTGTACTGTACTGCAGATTAAGACTTTATGATACCTTTAGTACATTTAGCTTTGCATACTTCTGTTCTTAAGCTTATGTCATTTTTTTTAATGCAGGGCTTTTGCCTGATTATCGTCACACTCTAGTATTGCTATAAAAGTACCAGTGCAATGCTCTGGCCTGTACACTCTCCTATTTAAAACATGTTGAGGCAACTTTTATTTTATGAGTTTTAGATGACGGTAACATCTTGTATAGGCTTCAGCTGCAACTCCACCACTCTGCTCTCACCATCATTACTGCTGATGCTTATAACACTCATCATTGCATCCTGTATAAAAGATTGGATGGTCACCTCTCTCTCTCTGTCTGTCTCTCTTTCTCCCTCTCTCTCTCTCTCTCTCTCTCGCTCTCTCTCGATTTGCATGTGTATTTGTTTATTCTCAAAGCCCTTATTGAAAACTGCCTTCATGTCTTACATCCATTAGTAAACCATCCATTAGTTAATAAGAACATATTTGGCAACATAATATTTGAATATGATGGTGAATGAGGAACTTCTTTCATTTTTAACCTCATTTTATTCTTCAGTCACTGTATCTGCTGTTTTAGTGGTATTATTGTTTTTGAGCTGTATCAAATCATTATTAGTAGCTAGTTGTACTGTTGTTTGTATTTGTTGTTATTTTCTTGTTTTCTTTTTTGTCTTTTATTTTAATTTACATTGTGTTGCATTATGATGTAATTTTTACTTTATGATGTAATGTTTACTTGAGTGGACCCCAGGAAGAGCAGTTGCTACCTTGGTCGTGGCTAATGGGGATCCAACTAAATAAATAAATAAAATAAATGAATCTGGTCATCACACCAGGACTAATGACTGTCTGTTTGGAAGATCTACTTCTGGCTTCTTTGCACCATCCATCTGAACTCAAAGCACTTTGAAAATGAATTTGTTGGTACCTCTTGGTCATTTTAGATTCTTAATCTCTGACTTTTTAATCTGTGTTTGTACCTTTTTTAATTGATTCTTGTCATTACATTATTTATTAATTGTATTTATATGTTTGTTCTAATTTATGCTCCTTTTTAACAGGTATTTTTTATCTACATGACATTGTAAATGAAGGCTTTACCCTCAATGATCTTCAAGTTTAAATAAATATTGATAATAAATAGTGATGTGAGATTCAAATGACAATATATATCAAGTGTTTTAGACTACAAACAGAGTCTTGAAAAGCACTAAGTAAAATATTCACCAAGCATCTGTCCTTCAGTATAAGATGCATTCATATCATGTATACAGTGTATTTCTAAATTATGGAGTGGCTCCATTCCTCAGAGGGCCAATGTGGTCTAGTGTTGATGGCTCCACAGTTGTCCTGTTTCAGTTTGTCTAATGGGTTAAGTGCTTCGGGTAAATAAACACTCAGCAGATGCTGGAGGTGATCACACCTGAACCTTCTCTACGGAGCAAATGGCTTCCAGATTGACTGGTGCTGATGGAGGGAGGGTGGGACAGACTGCTGCAAAAGGGCCAGAGTGTCATTAAAGAGCCTGTTTTTACAAACACAACCCTTGACACATCAAACCGGGGCACCGGCAGCCCCTGGCCCCCGACTCAGCTGCACCAACAACAGCGACCTGTGGAGAACACGGTTCACTCATAAAGCAGGACACCATGGTGTTTTACCACACTTGGCCGACCAGTAACACGACCCCACTGCACTTTCTTTCCCCCAACACCAACTCCACCTCCCAGTGTGGAGCCGTAAATACTTCACTCCCCCTTCAATCAACTTAAAGGAATGTCATTAAAAGCCTGTTGAGTTGGTTAAAGTTCTAATGACTGTGTGTCAGTGAAGATGTGACAGTGGTACTCAGGGAGAACCTCTTACTACAGTATGAGGTTTGACTAAATGGTTTTTGAAGCTGATACGAACATCATGGAATAACACTGCCAACAAATAATGTAGTGTGCTGTTAGTCAGAACCTTTAAAAAAATAAAGAAGATAGCATCTTGGGATAGTGTAGTGTAGAGACACTACAGTGTTCCAGACCAACACAGGCAAAGTCTTATTTCACTTAAACTATACTATATGTTAATGAATAGATAAATGGTCAGCATTGTCCCCTGTGAGGGAAACTGCTGCCAGAGACTGAAGTCACACAACTTGACTCATTGGAAACAGCTGCACCAGAGAGAAAAGAGCTTCCTCCTAATAGCCAGCTGCAGTCTGCTGCAAAGGCCTTTTCTAATTCATCTTTGCGTGTGTGTGTGTGTGTGTGTGTGTGTGTATGAGTGTGTGTGTGTGTGTGTGTGTGTGTGTATGAGAGTGAGTGGCATAGCACAAACTGTTGCTTCACCTTCACTGTATCATGTTTCATGCTGAATTTAGTGAAATAGAGTTTTTTTGCCTGGACCGCAACAGTGGGGTCAGCCCTATAATCTGGAATGTTCCTGACTGACTGACTGACTGACTGACTGACTGACTGATGATATTTCCACCACTGGTCAGTGGAGTGTTGAGCCTCAGTCTATTGAGCCGCTCTGGTTTACCAGCTGCTTGGGAACTGCAGGGAAGAGGAGGAGCACTTCCAATACACTGAGCCTCTCCTCCATTACAGCAAATGAACTACTTTCATTCCATGTATCATTATTACTAAAGGAGGCAGAGGCATAACTAAACATAAGACACACAGAGCAGAAAGAGCAGGAAAGAGGGAGGGAGAGAGAGAAGTCATTGGTAACGAGGCTTTGTACTAACGACTATGACCAACTCTACATATCAAACAGAGGGAGTTAGACATAAAGACCTGCCTCTAATAAAAGTCTGTTACATTCTGGAGTTGAAGTAAACTATTGTGGAGAGAAGATGTGAAATGTGATTTCCTATGTGAAATAAGAAAGATAGTCTGTCCCTGGTCCCAGTGGTTCACCTGGTGGAGCGCATGTCATTTGGGCTTCAAGTCCTTGCCGCTGTAGCCTGGGTTCAAGTCCAGCCTGTGGCCCTTTGTTGCATGTCATCCTCTCTCTCTCTCTCTCTCTCTCTCTCTCTCTCTCTCTCCCTCTCATACACACTATGAGTTTAATAACTTTACAGTAAATAAAGCTGAAATCACAGCTCAGTCTTTGTCTTTAAATTGTTGGGAGACATGGAAAATTAGTTCCCTTTTCTTTTGTATTGTAAATACTATAATGGTTTAAGAATGTAAATTTTCCATTAACTGGCTCAGCAAAACCCTGAAATATTCTGCTGTGACCATAGGCTGTGACACATAATCAAACACTGGAATAGCTGTTGTTGATTGATGAATATTGATGTGTTTAAGTTTAAGCTAATTTTGTCTCATTAGCCTGAAATGAAAGCAAAATGTAATATTTATTTAGTAATTATTCTGATTTCTCCATGTTTTGTCAGTGATTCATTTGTTTTGTAAACATGAATACGTGAAAATATCTCAAATTATTCAAAATATTTTCTTTATTTTGGACATTTTGCAGTATTCTCTGAAAATGTGTGCAGAATTCTGACAGCATATATGAACTTGTGTTGCCTCATAAATATAATTTGTATGCATGAGACATTCATTCATTTATTCAGAATGAATGATCATTCGTATTAATTTCAGAATTGGTCATTTGTCATTTTCACAGAATAACTCATCCACACAATGAAATGCCTTGGAATACTGCTACAGACACGGAATATACGAGAAGAATTGTATAGAAAATGTTATGAGTCTGGAGTATACAGATGAAAGCAGTGATACAAATAGTGCAGAGATGTGCATTCTTTTGTTGAAACTTGCAAAGCTGCGGCATGTTGTATTGATCCAGACAGGAATTAAGTGAGCTGCAGTAATATCTGATAAAAGTATGGGAGTTTCCATTACCTTTGGGAATTTAAAAAAAAAATCGAATTTGTGAAATGTGAAAGTGCAGGAAGTGAGATTGGACAATACATGTGACGGTCAAAAATAATTAAGATCTCTACAGTGGGAATTAATGCAGGAGGACAGAAAACCTAAATGGGGGAAATGTGATCAATAAAGAGTCTGGAATGTGATAATAGTTTCTGATTGTATCTGAGTTTCATTGAAGACAGTTGTTTTCTCCTCTCTTTTCTCTGTGTTTCCCTCAAGCAGCAACCTGAGACATGAAGCGAAAAAGTTCTAAAAACTGCAGTTCCTCTAATGACCACGAGAGTCTGGCTCCAACAGTGAGTCAATCCCCATAGACTCCCATGTTAAAATGTCCAACTTTACAGCAGAAATAAACATGTTTACAACCTGGTACAACACTGTTTTGGTTTTTCTACATTTTTACAAAATTGACATTTTATTAGGGTTTAAAGTTATGTAGAATTGAGGGCATGGCCTCTTTGAGTGTCAGGTAGGTGAGTGTATGCTTGCCCCTCCTCTTTGTCCATTTTTGGATTAGCTGGGAGTCAGGGGCGGAGTCAGTTACTGCCAAGATGGCGACAGTGGAGCAGCTCAGTCTGAGCTTCAAAACTGTTCTTCAGAAAGCTGTGGGTGATGTCACAGAGGCTGCATCCATCTTTATTTACAGTCTTTGTTTTCCCTGTGTCTCCCTGTGTTCTCCTTGTGTTCCCCTGTGTGTCTCCACCTCCCTGGTCTCTGTGTGTGTGTGTGTGTGTCTGTGTGTGTGTGTGTGTGTCTGTGTGTGTGTGTGTGTGTCTGTGTGTGTGTGTGTGTGTCTGTGTGTGTGCGTGTGTATGTGTGTGTGTGTATGTGTGCGTGTGTTAGTAGGCGTGGCTACCTTTCCCTGGCTCTGGCAGCTCTCCACACCTGTTTGCAATCTACTCATCACAGTTCAAGCACTCTGGTCTTCCTCTCACTCATCACCAGATTGTTCAGCCAGGGTAAGGGTTCATTATAAACACCTTTAACACCGACTCTGAGTTTCTGTTTCTGCTTCTGGGTCCAGGTATTTAAATAAAATGTTACATTTTGTTACACCCACTACAGGTATCCAGCCAAGAACTGATGATGTAGGAGGTAAAGATTAAAGAGTTATCTATAACAGAAGTACAATTTGCAATCTTCACCCAATGCGACCTCCTCAGTAACTTCCCATCCAAACCTGACAGGACAGGGGCTAAGCTCCACTACACACTAGTATCCACTTCAATGCCAAATCGTGCACACTTTATTGAGTCAACCCATTCCAAAGTTACACACATGATTATTTAAGGAACATCCCACGTCACACCTTAAGCCTGCCCTGACTACCGACTGGGATCTGACCTAAGCGAAGTTAAGCACTGGTGGGGGAAATAAACACTTTTCTAAAAATATAAAAGAAATGAAAACTAGGCCACCCCAAAGGCAATACCCACGTCCTTTTTCCCACTATATCGGTTCACCTCTAGGATGGACTAGACAAAAGAGAAAAGAACCCTCAAAAAAACTACAACCAAACAAAACATATCCACAGCAAGAGCAGCTAATGGATCTCTGATGCTCTGGTAGGTAGATCTACTTCCTATCAACTACAAACCTCCCATGCACACCAGTATGGAATGAGGTGTGCACCTGCCTCACTCCACCAGTCTGACACAACCTTCAATCTGCGACCTGTCTGCAGCCCTACATCTCACTAATCGGCGCTCCTCCCCTTTCTCTACTCAGTGCCACCCGCAAAAATGTGTAATAGTTTTTAACATCTGCATGGCAGGATTGTTATTTGCTCAATTGTGTTGTGTTGTTGAGCGTTCTGCATAGTAATGGAAACTGATGTGATACTTTAGAAAGATTTAACCTGGAGGAAGCATTTAAAGGTGGACTAAGCGATTTTAATTCTACACAGTTTTGGTCAAATTCAGCAGCCGACCTCCTGATGGGCTGCTGACGGGGCTGTTGCTGCACAGCCCTGGCTCTGTAACTGGGAAATAAACAAAGTAGCACAACACTATTCCAGCAGGTCAGCAACAGGGGGCGTTGTTCATGCCCGTGCACAGGACAAGAGAGTGAGGCTGAGGGGACCTGCAGAGTCAGGAGGTAATTCTCCGTGGGTTCATCACTAGCTGTGGCCCGCTCACATCACACAGTAATTTGATCCATTGTTATAGAAATATTGATTACTAGAACTTTAAGGATGTTTGATATCCCTGATAACGAAACACGTCTACAGCACTACACCACATGGACAGAAGCTGATCTTTTCATTTATGTTTTCCCAGTGGTTACAGGCTAAACTGAGCCTGTTTTCCCTATGGTGTGTGTATGGCCACATGCATAGAAATGTACAGGCATGAATGTGTGTTTTCAATGGCGGCTATTGTGTCTGAAAATAGCCATCTCCAGTCTGTGGTCTATTGAGACACATACTTGCATTTCTCATGAGGGGTCAGTGGCCCCCAGGCTCAGCCCTGTCTGGTCTGGACCAGCAGCCCAGTTCTCATGACACCTGACCCAGAGCATATCCTGTGGTCAGACTGCAGCATTGTGCCGTGAAGGACCAGGATCTGTTCATAAGGAATCTCTATGGCGGGCGGGCAGGGAGGAGGGCAGGCCGACAAACCCTGCTGTAGATGATCAGTTTTTAAATGCGGTTGTTTTGACTGACACATTATTTTTCTTTATGAGTGCACATTCCTGACTCTCTGAGCATTTTGGAGGACAGCTTGCGGTTATGTGGTGTTTAAACAGTTATCCCCTCGGCCTGTCAGGAGAAGCACTGCATTGTGATAGAAACATTGAGATGTTCCATTTTTCCCCTCATGCTGTGTCACAGTTCAGGGGCTGGACAGCGAGGAGAGGGACAACCTTTGTCCCCAAGGCTGTTCAGCTCCTCAACTCTAAAAATGCTTTGACTAGTGAAGGATCCAGTCCCTGAGCTGTTATTTCTTTTCAGAGTGACAGTGCACACGCAATGCTTCTTACAAGCTTTGGACTTTGATTATCCAGGAAGCACAAGTTTGCTCACTAATGTCCTCCTCCATGTTTATTGATTAGCTCACTCCACTGAGAGATCAACAAGATGCAATAGGTCAAGCTGATAATGAGTTTTAAGGATGCCCTCTGCTGGACCACAAGGTAATCTACTACACAGAGGAGTTTTGATTTCAAAAATTACATCATTAGTCTTCATTACAGTTTTTGAATTTCAAGTAAAAAAAAAAATGACAGCCCTAGTTTAAAATGTGAGTGCCTTAAATCGACATTAGCTTGTCACTTTGTGATGAAAATTGCTGAATAAATGGAACAATGTTAATTTTACAAAGATGTTTAAAATAGTTAGTATTTGAATTTTATCAGTTTGAATTTTTTGAAAAAGCGCCAGCACCATTATTACTGTAAACAAAAATGTAGTGAATTGTTCTTTTTTGTAACTGGTTGAATATTTCAACATTCAAGTGTGTTTCATCTTCACATATTATTCAGACATGAGTTTCAGTGATTATTCATTTTCATCATTTTTATTGTCATCACCAAATTGATCAGACAGAGAAATATAGTGTGTCAGAATAATTTTTGGGTTTTGTTCTCAACAAATCCAATTCATGGTTTCTAATAAAAAACCATGTTAAATTCACAAATACATCAACCAATGATAAATTGATAATCTTCAAAACTGGCAGATAAATAATTTAATAAATTAATAAATATCCCAATAAATTATTTAACAAATAAAAAACATTTTAGGTAAATTAAGAGCTAGTCGGTATATAAAATAATACTGACATGTAAATTATTGCAATGCATACATAATTCCTGAATTATTTAAAGTGAGGTTACTGCTTATATCAAAAGGCAGGATTATGGTGCATGCATGTGATAAGCCTGAGAAGTAGGAAGCTTTTCTCTGACTTTGTTAGAACTATTAAAAATGTATGAATAGAAATGAAGAATACAAATATTTGAAATCAGTCTTCAGAGCTGCAGTCGTCCTCTCCTGGGTGCCCTTTGAAGCAGGCTGACTCGTAGTGCTTGTTCAGGTAGGACTTGAGTGCAAAGCTTTTGTGGCAGCGTTTGCAGGAATAGTGCTTGAAGGCTGAGTGAGTCTGCATGTGGGCGCGCAGGTTGGAGCGATCAGCGAAGGCTTTGCCACAGTGTGCACAGGCAAAGGGTTTTTCTCCGGTGTGGGACCTCATGTGGCCCTGCAGGAGCCAGGGCCGACTGAAGGCTTTATCGCACACCGTGCACTTGTGCTTCAGGTCATGCGTCAGCATGTGCATGGCCAGCGCCGGCATGGACACGTACACCTTGTGGCAGGTGGGACACTTCCTAGCCTGCTGGCTGTCCAGGCTGCGGTGAGTCTGCTTGTGTCTGCTCAGATTGGAGGACGTTGCATAAGACTTGCCACAGTCACAACACATGTGGCGCCCTTTGGTTTTCCCTTTGACAGGGCTGCAGTCTCCCAGGCCGACGCCCTTGCTGCTGTCTGATTGGCTGTTTCCTTTGCGTGGACATCGCTGGCTGGGTCTCCAGCGGGAGCGGCCGTCAGAGATGAGGAAGTCATTGATGGGGCACTCCTCCAACTCAGGGCCGCTACTGTCTGACTCAACTGTGGCGGTGGAGACTGGGCTGTCTGGACGCTCCATGTCATGGTCAGAGAACTCTCCCCCACTGCTGCCACCTGGGGAGTACAGGGCCCCTGAGAAGAGGCCAGTCTGCCCACAGCCTGGCTCTTTTGTGCTCTGCAACACTGAGGGGATGATGTAATCCTGGATGTAACCTGTAAAAGAAAGAAAACATGTAATGAAGAGATGGAAAAGATCTCAATGACCTCTGATGAGAGGTGTCGTCTTACCTAACCCTCTAATCAATATGAAACCTATACATGAAGCTATTTGTGAGAGCTTTGGAATGAAATCATGAGTCTTTGGTGCACAGTTGTGCCTCGATCAATACCTCCAACAAGTGCTCTCATACAAAAATTTGGAAGGTCATCGTGGGTAAATATAAGTCAAACACAATGTGCTGACATTGATAAAACAGTCACAGAGCAATAGCTCAGTTCCCAATCAGACCATGGGCCTGCAGCAGCAGCTGAGAGTGTCTCAGCAGTGAAATCCCCTCAATCACTAAATTATTTTAATCAGATCATTCCCCATCTGTGGTGTTTGTGAGAGTGTTCATGAGTATGGTAATGGGGAGATTGAGTGACAGGTGTGGGCTGCGATTTAGCAAAGAGGAAAGGGAGGGCCAAGGAGGGTGTGTGTGTGTGTGTGTGTGTGTGTGTGTGAGGGGGGGGGTTACCCCCCTCCCTCACTCCCTCCCACCACAAGAACACACGCACACACACACACATTGGAACACAAAGGGAAGCAGACAGCTGGCATCCTAAATCTGGGGAACAAATGATTCAACTCAAGCAGAAGATCTGTGATGCTGCTGGTGGGTGGGTGAATCTGCTCAAAGCACACATTTCTTTGGGTGTTTCTCAAAGCTAAACACACACACACAAACATAAACACATACACACACACACCATATTGTTTGTATTGCAGGGTTGTTCTCACATCCAGCCTCTGTAGAAATCCCACTGATGAAAACCTAATGTCTGCCAATGTACTGCTCATGTTGCACTTTATTGAATTACCTGCAGCACTCTATTTTCCAGTCAATACCCATCCTCTAAAAACCCTGTCCCATCACCTCTTGCTGCTCCACATATGGATTGTGTTGCAATCCTACTCCTGGTGGCTATCTAACGTCCTGCAGGATCAGATGGAGAGAGATGGAGATGGGAACAGGGTGGGGGGGTGGGGGGGTTAGACGATAAGAGGAGGGACTCAAGGGCAACTGCATCTAAGGACAACACAGTCCCAAGCGGCTATCTGCTTTCTCCAGAGTTTTTTTTTCCTTCTTTGTAGTGTGACCTGACAAAAGGTTGCATCAGATTTTGTGCCTGTACCCGTGCACACGTATATCTCATCATTCATGTACACAATGGTATTAAAGCCAAAGGCTGCTGTGTGATCTGGTTTGAGTATTAAGCTGATTGAGCCGGCGTGACCTGAATACTATTTAGCATCCGCTGAGTTAGAAAACAAAAGTCCTGAGACAGACGGAAGGGGGACAGGTGCTGCCTGTGGGGGTTTTGGGGTTTTGGGGGTTTTTGGAGAGCATTTAGGTCGGAAAGACAACAACATAAACACACTGCACGAATCCCTAGCTGTTATTTTAGTTTTTTGTTGCTCCATTTCTGTGAGATAGAGCATGTGGAGCATCTGCAAACAGAGACATCAATCTATACTACAGCAGAAATACACACAGCAAAGTGGGGAACACAACTCAGAGAGATGTCAACTCACCATTTTCACTCAAACGCACCGCCAAGTTGGTGGCTGACTCAGTGATGGCATGTGTCACAGTGTAAGCGTTGTCCCAGTGGTGCTGGTGTTGATGGTAGTAGGTGGAGGATGAGACATCGTGAACCTTCGGCTGTTTCACCAAAAAGGAGCGTGGCATTTTTTTTTTCACCTGTAAAACTGATGATACAACCTCATAAAAAATGTGAACAGACAGATGCTAAAAAAAAAAAAGAGCAGAAATACACTGAGCTTCCAGGCAGGACAGGCCAAACAACGGAGGATTGCAAAAATGGAAATGGTTTAAAGCCAGAGGGAAAGAGAAAGAGAAAATGTAGTGAAAACAGAGAGAGACAGAGAAATCAGAGGACAGGGAGGATGGAGAGGAAGACAGAAAGTGACATGGGAGAGACAGAGGCAGAGAGAGAAAGAGAGAGAGAGAGAGAGAGAGAGAGGGAGAGAGAAAGAGAGATGGCTGGACTAGCTGAGCTCAGCACTACTGCAGCCTTTTATATGTGGGGCACGAGCCCCAAAGATCAGGTGGTGCTTTGGAAGAGGGAGCTGCTTAGCATTAATCCATCAAACATCCCCAGGGACACACATCAAATTACCACGAGCCGTCTGTGCTTCTCCCTACACGCACACACACATACAGACACACACACACAAACACACACACACACACAGCAGTCAACCTCCTCCTCCTCCTCCTCCTCCTATATCCTCTTCCTCCTTTCACTCCTCTATCTCCCCTCTCCTAGGGAAGGAGAGGAGACAATGGTGGTGCAGAAGCACGTGGGTGACACTACACACAACACCTTGTCCTCCTTTGTTTTTCAATGAAGTAGCTGACAATGTATGCAGCCCCAAACATACACCCACTTCCTTGTCACACCACCACCACCACCTCTGATATTTCATTATCATCAGCCATATGTCCAGCTTATTATTAAAATGTTAAAACTACTTGTAACAACAAAGCTAATGCTAACTAGCACTGCAATATAAACAAAATGCAACCTGAAAAATAAGTCACCAGCATCCAGCCCACTACTCTTGTTGTTTAGATGGCTTCATTTTTCACACAGTTTCTCTTGACTCTTACCTCAATATTACATTAGCTAAAGACATTGCTCCAGCCTGCGCATACAAGAGATGCTAGACACATTAGCCACGCCAAGTTCCAAAGTCTAACCTACTAAATAAACAGTAAATAAAGTAATACAACATGTAGGGTCAGGGACAGTTGCTATCAATCCATCCTTGAAATTCAGTTTTTAAGTATAATGTTGCTTTTTACTGGTGCTTGTTCAGAAAGCAGTCCAATGTGAAATGGCTTTGCAGTCGCTGTGAGGACATTTCCATCAACAATAAGGTGAATCCAAGCAGCTCCAAAGGAGTAAGTCCCCATAGACTCCCATGTTAAAAGGTCCAATTTTACAGCAGAAGTAAACATGTTTACAGCCCGGTACAAACAAGTTTGGACCCATAGCTAATTTCCTCCTTTATGACAACTGTACGGGAGGGTGAATTTATATATAACTCTCGCAGTTACATTTTACAAAGGCTTAAAAGAGCTATTAAGTTTTGCTATTGCTACATAGCCAGTTTACTTACCAGTCTAGAAGGGAAGTTGTGAGTTCAACATCAAACTTCTGTCCTTTACTCACCAATAGCTGTCTCCAGAGGTGGAAATCAACATCACTACTACTCTTTTCTCTATCACATTGTTTCTTCCACTGAAATCAGCATGCAAACAAGCTAGCCCCGGCACATCTCGTCACTCCGATAGCGACTCGCTGTAGCTTCCAATCTGCCCTGAAGACGTTGCTGCTCAGATGACGTATTATAGCCACGTCTTGTAAATGCAACAATGGCCAAAGCTCTTGTCAAACAACAAACACCACCACCCACATCTGGCAATACACCACATTTTGCGGCAGAGAAAACTTATAAATAGCCCCTTTAACATTATGCATAATGCAACCTGTTTGTGGTGTTGGTGCCTTTTGGAGGATTTTTCACAGAGATATCAGACAGATGACTTGTTTGCCTATTTTTGGATTAGCCGGTAGCTAGGCGGAGTCTGGCACCGCCAAGATGGCAATGGCAGAGTAGCCCACTTAAAAACCACTCTTCAGAAAACCTATAGGTGATGTCACAGCACATAAAGACTGTTGTATTGGTTCTTGCAGCCAACCAATTGCATGCTTTCTTTTTGCCTTTGACATTGTTCTATTAAAACAAAAAGAATGACAGACAGCTAGGAAAATTCTGCAACTTTTCAGCAAGCGGGTACCATCAGGTCTGGGTGTGGTCCTCAGCTAAACAGATTCCTTTATGACATCAAAAACAGTTTGCTCACACTTTTACTGAAAGATGGAATGAGTGAAAAAGAGAGGATGGTCTTTTCTCAAAGTTTGAAAGAAAAATGTAATGTATACTAATGTAAGGAATGTAATGTAATGTGAAGAATTTAGGGTTTGAATGGATCATTGTCTCTATTTCCCCTGTGATTAGTAACAAATTGGTTCCTACAGAAAATAAATTGTGGGTGCTAAACGGCAAACCTCAACCATTTTTTTGGGGAATGCTGAAACATGCTTATAACTAGAAAGAGATACCTAAGACAATATGGGCCAACTTTAACACACATATACCAATAGATTTCAAAGCCATATTTAGACTATATTTCCCCAGAAGCAAAGGTATTGACAAATATTTAATGGGTGTATTACTGGAAAAAAACTCTACCATACATACCTACCATAAATAAGTGGCTAGTCTCTTTAAACTTAAAGATGAACATCATCATACATTAATGGAGAAAAAATGGTGCAATATGTCAAACCTGGTTTTGTTTAGATAGTGAATTGAAGGAACATTTTCCTTATTTATTTTTTCCTTGATGTACTGTATATTCACCTTGGTGGTGTTGGTTACTACAACTGAACACAGAAAAAACAAAATAATAGTTTTTGGCCCCAAAGAAGAAAGACGAAAAGTAAGTGCTCACCTTGAATCCATGACACTAAAACCTACAAATCAAGCCAGAAATCTTGGTGTAGTTAGAGACTCAGACAGCAAGACAATTACAAAATCAACCTATTACCATCTAAAAAACATTAGATTTATGTCTAAACAGGATACAGAAAAATTTGACTATTGTCAAGTTCTCTTCACAGGCCTTAGTAAAAAAGAAAAAAAAATCAACTAGACAGCTGCAGCACATCCAGAATGCTGCTAAAATCCTACTACTGGTCTGTAATGCACTAAATGGTCTTGGGCCCAAACACATCTCTGATGTACTTGTACGATATGAAGCATCCAGACCCCTCAGGTGATCTGGGACAGGTTCACTCACTGTTCCCAGAATCAGAACCAAACAAAGTGAAGCAGCTTTTAGTTCCTCTGCTCCTCACCTGTGGAACAAACTTCCTGAACACCTGAGATCTGCTGAAACTCTCTCTCTTTTAAATCAAGACTTAAAACATCATTGTTTACTGCAGCTCAGCAATTAATCACATACAGAACATCTTTTAAATCTTTGCTTGTTGTTAATGTCTCTTGTCACTACACCACCCCTTTTTTTATATATATATATATATATATACCTTTTTATGCCTTTATTGATAGTGCAGTAGAGAGAAACAGGAAATGGGGAGGCAGAGAGGGGGAACGACATGCAGTAAAGGCTGTCCAATGCAGGATTCGAACCGGGGCCAACTGCAGTGAGGACTGTAGCCTCTACACATGGGGCGCCTGCTTAGACCACTACGCCACACGACGCCCCACTACACTACCTCTTTTAAAATAGTCTCCTAAGTTTCCTACTTGATCATATGTATTCAAATATTTATATTTGTTCAATTTTGTTTTTATTGTTTTTAAATGCCATTTTAATGTCTACCATCTTGCTTTATGTATTTAAATGCCTCTGTAAAGCACTTTAAATTGCCTTGTGCCTGAATGGTGCTCCATAAAGAATTTTTTCTTTTCACACGGTTGCTTATCCATTTGCATTACCTATGAATGTGATAGCTTTTTGAAAAAAAAAGAAAACAAGACACAAAAAAGAAATTACTGGAAAATAAATTAATCCATAAAAACACATAGCTATCACCAAATTGTGTATCGCATCTACTGACCTCCTGACAGTTAATCACATCACGGTCAAGTATTGTTTGTTGATGGTTTGAAAATCTGATTATGTAAGTTTAATTTATAGATAAATGAAAAATGATAGATAAATGCCACATTGTGAGAGATATACTACATTATACTCACACATAAAACATTCATTTGCACACTTCACTGCTTCCTTATGTTATATCAACCAGCAGGTTTAATATTTAGATTTTTCACTTCCACCCTGTCTGTGTGTCTCTGAAGACCCCAGCCCTCCAAATAACCATATAACCTTCAACTGGATAAAAAGGCACCCCCTAGTGACTTTCAGTCCATCGGCTGTGACAGACTGACCTCTGTGTGCCTGCAGGGTCATGAGGTCAAACTCTGGTTGGCAGCTGCAACTTAATTCAGCCTCGACAGCACACTCACAGATGGCTCTGCAAGACACAGTTCAGCAAAAAAGGAGAAACAATTATAACATAGTAATTAGTAGAAAAATATACAAATGCATCTATGTGCAATAATGTGTGAGGGCAAATGGCAGTACGGACAAAAGTTGATTAACGGGCAAAAAAAGGGGAAAACAGAACAGCAAAAACAACCCTGAACGACCCTGAACCCCCAAAATATATACAGTAAATTAACAGAGAAACCATAAGTCCATAGGTTGTAGAGAGTCGAGACAAGTGTGGGGTTACTCAGTGTTTCCTAGCACACAGACCTGCGTAGATGCATTAGTTAGACACCCTGACCTATAATACACAAATAGTCCATAGATCTTAGAGACACCTAAGATATCTTCCAAGTAAAAAAAATATAAAATCACATCACCAAGCCATTTTTAGGAGAGGATGAAGATTTCCATTCCCTTAAAATATTCCTTTTGGCTAACCATGCTGAATATGAGAGCCAGTTGACTCTCATATGCAGGGTTCATGAGACACTGTAGATAATTGTAAATAGCAGTAGCTAACTATCTAGCTTGTTTAATAGACTATCAATTAGATTGTGTCAAGTATCTACAGATGA